TATATACACGTGTGTGTGTGTGTGTGTGTGTGTGTGTCGATGTATGCACACGCACACATATATATGTATATAGGTATCTTTTACGGTCTTATAAGCAATTAGGATATAGAAAGTTAGCATTGTCAAATTTTCTTTTGTTTTATTTTTTTTTCTGATATTATAAATTTATACCAAAAATATAGATGTATGATTCATAGCATCATTTTTACTTGTCTTCTTGACTGCTAATTAAGGTGTTCTGTACAAACGTGGGAGAGTTAAAGTATGTTCATCGCTCGAAATGCTACCGATTCCAACACCACTGGTTCTAAACCCGTCATTATTTCCTTCAACACTGCTAGAAATAAATTCACTACCGCTTCTGAAACTACTACTAATTCCGAAACCACCACCAATGTCGAAACCATTGATACCTCCAACACCATTGCTGTTTTCGAAACCAATGCTTCCAAAACTATCGCTGCTTCCAAACCCATTGCTGTTTCCGAAGCCATTGCTATCTCCAAAACCATTGCTGCTTCCTAAACCGGTGCTTCCTCCGAAAACACTTCCAGATCCTGTTCCACTACTGCTTCCAAAACCATTCAAAACTCCTAAGCCACTGCTAGTAGCACTTCCGATGCCACTGCTGCTTCCGAAAGCACTGCCGACTCCGAAGCCATTAACGCCTGCGATACTATTGCTGGCCCCGAAGCCATTAACGCCTGCGATACTATTGCCGGCCCCGAAGCCATTAACGCCTGCGATACCACTGCCGGCCCCGATGCCATTAACGCCTGCGATACCACTGCCGGCTCCGAAGCCATTAACGCCTGCGATACCACTGCCACTTCCGAAACCACTGGTACTTTCAGAGCCCCCAACCACCTGACCACTGCCAGCCGAAGCCGCATCCAAGGCAGTTTGCAGATCCACTCCGCTTGGAAGAGTTGGGTTTTCTCCTTCGGCGTAGTTAACGAAGTAAACGTCTGGGTCAGATGGTGGCGGTGCAGGAACTTCAATCACCTTTTGAACTTCTTCAGATTGTTTATTCAGGACGTATACGA